TGTGCGCCTAGCTGACTGTCTCTGCTTCTCCAGGTCAGCCACCTTGGCCTCAAGGGAGCACACACGTTCCCTGAGAACCAGGAGCTCCTTGCACCGAGGACACACCCAAGACTTCTGCCCAGTGGGCAGATAGTCATACATGTGACACTCCGTGCAAAACACTGGATAGCCCCCAACCCCCTGCTGGCATTCTGGCTTCATAATTCTTTTAAAATAAATAAATATAATCCCCCTTTTAAACCCTTGGTATTTATGTGTGTTTCCTTAAATAGAGGCCTCCCCCAGCAGAGGTCAGGCAGCAGCTATTCAAATTCAAATTCACCCAGGCACTCAATCACAGGCAAAACAATGCCCCTTCCACTTCCTCTCAATTACAGGCAATCCCAGTCAAACAGTGCCCGTTCCTCTCCCACACTCAATCAGCCAGGACTCTGCAAGAACTCTAAGTGCTTCCACACACTGCTAAACACAGTTTTCCCACAAAATATCCTTAGCTGAATTCTCTCAGCTGAAAGCAAGTAAAAGAAACCCACTCACCTCTCTCACAGCTCTCTCTCCTGCTCCTGCTCAGAGCTCAGCCAGAGGCTCGTGCCTCTGCCAAGGTGCTTCCTTAAATAGAGGCCTCCCCCAGCAGAGGTCAGGCAGCAGCTATTCAAATTCAAATTCACCCAGGCACTCAATCACAGGCAAAACAATGCCCCTTCCACTTCCTCTCAATTACAGGCAATCCCAGTCAAACAGTGCCCGTTCCTCTCCCACACGCAATCAGCCAGGACTCTGCAAGAACTCTAAGTGCTTCCACACACTGCTAAACACAGTTTTCCCACAAAATATCCTTAGCTGAATTCTCTCAGCTGAAAGCAAGTAAAAGAAACCCACTCACCACTCTCACAGCTCTCTCTCCTGCTCCTGCTCAGAGCTCAGCTGGTCTCCCACTCGTGCCCACGAGTTCTTGTATTGTGAGAAAGGGAAAAAAGTACCTCTTTCTGCCGTGGAAGCTTTCTTTGCCTGTTGTATCCTAACTAAGGACCGCACACGCAGTCGGGCTGGCACGTGGTCAAATGAACAAGCAAAGCTTCACGACCTGAAACAATAGACTCAGAGGATCCTAGAAGGGGCCAATCGGTCAGTCCGGATCCTAATAGGGACCAATGGTTATGGGTGCACTGTAAATAAACCTATCATGGGTGTTGGGTCTGTTTGTGGGTGTGGCATGTACCAGCATTTAAGCGGGCCCCTGGGCCCTGATGGTGTTCTCCATTTCCTCCTACCTCAAATAAACTATGAGCTGATTCACTAACAATGCGTCTGGACCCAGTACTTTACATTGCCTAAGCGGCCTCACTGCGGTTCTGGAAAATGAAATGTGGAGGGGGAAACTGTGTACCTTGGAGCTCCTTGGTGGAAGGGTAGGGAAATAGCACTCTTACATAAAGAGTGATCAGATTCTGAGGTGGCCCTATCAGGAGCCTCAGACCCTGCTACTTCTGCTGTAGTCTGTGCTTCTGTGCCACTTCTGCTGTAGTCTGTGCTTTGATTAGACTGAGAGTTCGTTCTAATTATACACCCTACTTACTACTGGTATGACACGGAAGACAGTGCTCGCTATTCCTTGTATTCCTTGTATTTCATGTAACACCTGGCCCTTTGAGCTAGATATAAAAGGTAAAGGTTCCCTTGCTCGAAAGCCAGTCGAATCCGACTCTAGGGTTGCGGTGCTCATCTCCGTTTCAAAGCCGAAGAGCCAGCGCTATCCGAAGACATTTCCGTGGTCATGTGGCCGGCATGACTAAACACCAAGGCGCACCGAACGCTGTTACCTTCCCACCAAAGTGCTACCTATTTATCTACTTTGAACTGCTAGGTTGGCAGGAGCTGGAACTAGAGATGGGAGCTCACTCCGTCATGCGGCACACTTGGGTCTCGAACTGCTGAACTACCGACCTTCCACAGCCTGCAGTTCAGGGTCTTAACCACTTGAGCCACCGCAGCTCCTTTTGAGCTAGATATACTGAGGATTGAATCTGAGCCTATCTGCATATGAAGCAAATGCTCTACCACGGAGCCACAGTATGTAATGTGCTGACTTCCATATGCTTGCTTCTGTAGGTTGTTTATGTTACCGAAACTTGAATGCCTCGATGTTTCCTATAATGAACTTGAATACATCCCGAATGCTATCAGCAACGCCAGGTATATCACTCTTTAATCTTCTAACCAATGCTCCCTCTAAGCCATGGAGTCTTGTGAGCAAAAATTCTACTTTGTGAGCTACTGGCATTAAAGTTGTGAGCGAGCGATTTGGCTGCTGCGTAAATTAGTTTGCTCTGGAGCCCTCCTTCCTGAGCTGAGACAAAAATGTGTGAGCCGGAGGCTAAAAAGCTATGAGCTAGCTCACACTAACTCAGCTTAGAGGAAACACTGCTTCTAACAGCTAGATTTGTGTCCCTTACCAGATTTTTAAAAATCCCAAAACATTTATTCTATTGGCCACAACGTATTTTCTGTGCACTCTCTTTACCTGGTGCCTGGTTGGGAAATGTATGGGTTTGCTGGTGCTGTTCTGAGGGTGTCAGTCGTGTATTGACGCCATCATGAATATTCTGAGATGCCTTGAACATCTGGAACTTGTATATTTGGGGGCATTACTTGGCAAGCCAGGCAGTGTAGAAAATAGCCATCTCAAATCATCCGTTTTTCTGCTGCTTTCATGTCCTGTTCTCATGCTCTGGCTCTAGAAAACAACTTTATGCAATAAAACCAAGGGTGTTAAGATATTACGCAGTATGCTTACAGACTGCAATCCTCCATGTTCTCTGGCAGAGGTGTTTTCTCAGGCCTCCTGTTAGCTGAAGATGTCTCTCTCCCCCCCCCATCTTGGAAAGTTCCTTATACTTAGGAAAGCAAAGGAGACCCACACAATCCCAGCTGAGCTGTGACATTTTGGATTGTTTCAGTCTTCAGAGCAACTCTTCTCTACAGTTTGTGCTTGTTTGGGGAGCAATTGTGCATTTTTTAAAAAAATAGTCCTCGACAGCAGATTAACAGTGCAGTCCTAAAGCAGACTTGCACCCTCCCAAACCCATTGACATCAATGGACTTAGAAGGGCGTAACTCCGTTTGGGATCGCACTGTAAGGCACTAGGCAGACATGGACTGACATGTTTACTGCTATGAAAATACACCTAGGACATTACAGCAGTGATCCCCAGTGGGGGCCATGATGCCCACCAATCTGTTTCCTGGTGTTTCCTTGTTTCTCCCCCTAAGTATCTGTTCCCCAAAACAAGGAGGCAGTCCTGGTTTTCATCCACCTCCCTGAAGTGGAAGGTGTCTCTGAAGAGCCTAGGCAGGAAGTATCACCTTTGAGTCTGCAGAGAACACCCATTCAGAAATAGCTGCCTGATCACAGGAGAAACCTTGGCCTGGGACCTTCCAACTCTTAGCATTCACCTCCCATGGCAGCCATATTTGGCTGGTTCTTACCTTTAAAGCCCTTTATGGCCAGGGTCCAGCTTACCTGAGGGACCGCCTTTCCCCATATGTTCCCCCAAGGGCACTACGGTCGGGGAGTTGTCATCTCCTGGAAATTCCAGGCCCCAGGGACATGCGCCCCCTCGCCCAGGTTGCCCGGAGTTGTGGGCTGGGGTGTCATCAATATGCTGATGACACCCAGCTGTATCTGATGTTGGGCGGCCAGTCGGATTCCACTCCTGATGACCTTAGTCGGGCGTTACAGGCCGTGGCTGGGTGGCTCAGACTGAGTCGGCTGAAATTAAACCCGGCAAAGACGGAGGTCCTGGGGTTGAGTTGGATCGGTCCAGGGTTGGGGCTCCCTCTCCCGACCTTCGACGGGGCGCCATTGGTGCCGGTGTCGGAGGTTAGGAGTTTGGGGGTGCTCCTGGACTCCGCGCTAACAATGGAGGCCCAGGTAGCAGCCACTGCCAAGTCGGCATTTTACCATCTTCGGCTGGCGCGGCAGTTGGTCCCCTTCCTTGGCCGGGATGACCTAGCCACAGTGATCCATGCGACGGTCACCTCAAGGCTAGACTACTGTAACGCTCTCTACATGGGGCTGCCTTTGTCGCAAATTCGGAAGCTGCAACTGGTGCAGAATGCTGCGGCCAGGCTGTTGATGGATCTCCCTAGACGAGATCACATCCAGCCTGTGCTGAAAGCGCTGCACTGGTAATGCTTTTCCTGGCAATCTTAATTCCGGTTTGTGATTCATCCAGGCCAATATTTTCCATGATGTACTCTGCATATAAATTAAATAAGCAAGGTGACAATATACATCCTTACCATATTCCTTTTCCTATTCTAAACCAACCAGTTGTTCCATGTCCAGTTCTAACTGTGACTTCTTGACCCTTATACAGGTTTCTCAGGAGACATACGAGGTGCTCTGGTACTCCCATCTCTTTAAGGACTTGCCACAGTCTAGGATGATTTATAGAATTAAAGGCCTCTTTAAGGTTAATAAAGCCCACATATAATCCCCCACCTTAAAAGATGACTATTTCTCAGCCAAATGGTAGAGAACTAGACAATGGTCATATGTTAAAAAACCCCGTCTAAAGCCTATCTGTTCATCCCCAGTATGGCTTCTGATTCCATCCAATCTAAAAGTTTCTTAAGTAGATAAGCAGAATATAGCTTTCTCAAAGAACAATGGAGGTTAATTGGTTGATAGAAGGATAGGTCCAGACTAGACCCCTTTTTAAATATTGGGACATCTCCATGAATCAGGCATTTGCCCACTGGAATTAATTTGAGGAAAACTTGGGGCCAAGACTTGAATAACTCATTGGGACTTAGATCAGAGCCAGGGCTTTTCCTAATTCTAATCCCTTAGTAAAGCATATAACTTCCTTGATTGATACCTCAGACCAAGGTGCTGTTAAATCAGGAGAAATAATAGTTGAAGATGAACAGGGATGACAGACTATGGGAATGTTACCATTGGGATTAAGATCTACCCCATCTCGTGACAAATGGAGCACTGATATTTTGTTATTGTATTTTATTGTTTTATGCTATGTTGTTTTTATTTGTTTTAATCTTGGCACTGTGTGCCTCCTGTTAGCCACCCTGAGCCTTCGGGGTAGGGCGGGATATAAATTCAAAGATAAAATAAATAAATAAAATAATACCCTTTCCCAGAATTCCAAGAGTGCCCACAGGCCCAACAAGGCTGTGGATCGCTGCCTTACAGAAACCTCCCCTCCAAAGATGCCAACTGCATGTGTAGTTATAGATATGTGATAGGATTGCCAGCTCTGGGTTGGGAAATACCTAGAGATTTGGGGGATGGAGCCTGGGGAGGGCGGGATTTGGGGAGGGACCTTAGCAGGGAGTAATGCCATAGAATCCACCCTCCAAGGCAGCCATTTTTTTCCAGGGGAACTTATCTTAGTGAACTGGAAATCATTGGGTGCCCTGACCTGGATAGCCCAGGCAAGCCCGATCTCATTAGATCTCAGAAGATAAGCAGGGTTGACTCTGGTAAGCACTTGGATGCAGGGGTCATTTCATAGAAAAAGAGCTAGGGGAACTCATTAGCATAACTCATTAGCATATGCCACACCCCCTGACATCAGCAAGGCCAGCGGGAGTGCGAGGAAGCCCCGCCAAGGCCCTCCCTGGCCCCAGGCAGGCAGGGGTGGGGAGAGGCGGGGAGGAAGCAACTTACCCTCCCTCTTCTCCTGCCTCCTCCTGGCTGAATGAGAGCTGGAAGCAGGACGGCCGGAAGTAGGGGGCGGGGCTTCGTCATGTGCCCCGCCCCCTGCACCTCACCTGGGGGAACTGCGTTCCCCCGCGTTCCCCCCCGAAATGACCTCTGCTTGGATGGGAGACCTCCTTGGGATACCAGCAGTCAGGAGGACAGGGGCAGGCTTTATTCAGCCACCTCTCTGAATGTCCTCCAGGCCCCCAGTAGGGGTCGGTCACCAGAGGTCGCCATGACTTCCGGGTGCACACACAGTCAGTCATCACAGGTCGCTGTGACTTCCAGGTGTGTACGCGCACACACACACACACATTTAAAAAAAATTGTAATAGCAGGAGATCTCCAGGTGCCATCTGGAGGTTGGCAACCCTGTGTGCATATGACTTGCAGGGGTCATTTTGTAGAAAAAGTGATGCAGGAGCTCATGAGCACAACTCATTAACATAACTTATTTGCATATGCCACACCCCCTGACATCACCGGAAGTGTGTCAGAAGGCAATACCCACTGCTCAGGCACCACTGGACTCTTTTGGATTGCTAGCTATTGGGGGGGGGGGATGCACAGATCTGCCCTCACAGAGGAGGGAGAGCTTGTACTTGAATAAACCTTGGCCTTAAAGGTGCCACTGGACTGTTTTGGATTGCTAGCGGGGGGGGGTCTGCAACTTACTGGCTGCTTCTTGCTCCTTGTGGCCTGGGGCTGCTGGGAGCAGGGGGCGGGGCTTTTTGCATGTCCCCGCCCCCTTGGCTGTTTACTGCCGGAGCTCTGCTCTTGTGTGCTCCTGTAGGAAATGACCCCTAATAACTTGTGAAACGTGTGCCTGTACATTTTCAGGAGCCTCGGTTGCCTCATCATAGAAGGCAATCTGCTGTATGTTTTGCCTTGTGGGATTCTGAAACTTCCGCTGAAATGCCTGAGGGTAGAGAACAACTTCTTACATCCCTTTTTCTGGAGAGAATTCAAACAGCTTCAGCCACAACGACTCACTGATATGGCCTCCCTTTGTTTTGTTCGAAACAAGCTGCAGGAAAGATACCCTAAAATCCCAGAGGACATTCAAAAGCTATTGGGCAGGTAAGTAAGAGGGAGTTCTCTACCTCCACCCAAGCATCAGGGAAAATTCTGGGTGTAATACAACCTCCTCCAGTAGCGTGATCAAGAAAGGGCATTCCAGGCTATACCAGGATTGCAGGTATCTTTGCCACAATGATCAAGTATTCTAATAACCAACAATTTGGAATAAAGTACATCCACATCCAGCAGTTGCAATGTACATCTTACCTAAAGCATTGTGCCAGATATATGTGAATGAAACAAATCAATCAACAAATTAACTCATGTAGGACTGAGTTATTCTGGTTTATAATTGTGTGTCTTTTCCCCAACACAACTAAGTTATTTTGTCCTTTGGCCCTAAAGGAAACCTTTTCAAAAGACAGGCATGGAAAAGTCATTACCCTATTGACTATCAGAGACAATGAGTTGTTTGCTCTTGGACCACTCAAACCGCTTGTAAGCCCCTGTTGCCTATTCATGTCAGCACGTAGTATCATACATGCTAAATGTTTTGTGCGCTGTATGAGATGACTAAAAATATTCGTTTCTATTCTGCCTGGTGAAAAACAGCAATACGTGATTTGAAAGCTTTGCCGGCTGTTAACATAAGTTAGCCTAGTGAGTAGAAGACATTGTATTTACTTAGATATTTATACCCTGCTTTTCTCTATGCTGGCAACCAAAAGCAGCCTACAATATTGTTCTCCCTCTCCCCCTTTTTTTTTGTCACAACAACACTGTGAAGATAGGTTAGGCTGGGAGAGAGTGCTTTGCCCCAAAATCACCCTCCAAGCTTACATGGAAGAGAGACACGTTTCTCAGATTCTAGTCTAACACTTTAACACAGACATTGGCTGATTCTGCATTGGCTTTTCCCTCCGTTGTTTTACCAAACCTACACTGGAAAAGAAAAGGTGCCACTCAAAACCACATTCAGATACCTCGGGGCAATGCCATACTGACTGCAAAGTTATCCCTGAACGGCCATAAATCCATGCAGAAGGTACCATAAAATCTGATAATCAAAGAAAGTGAAAGCAGCATGCAGTGCAGAGGGGAATTTCTGTTCCAGCGTGTGTTTGGTATAACAACGGAGGGAAAAGCCAATGCCGAATCACCCATTGACAAATTTTCTTTGGCTCTAAGAGCCAGCCCTGAAAATTAGGCACCAGACTCATTTTTCAGAGGTTTGTATTTTAATGACCATATTTTTAAATTATTGCTACCATAAAACCTAATTCTAAACCTTTCTTAGCATCTTGTAATTTTATCTGCGCTATGATAAAGATGTTGCCATATATAAATAGGAGGGAACTCTGGTTTCCAATTCCAATGCAATTACCTTTACTGGCATATAAACTCTGGTTTCCACTGCAACAAAAACCTAACCTCTAACCCCATACTAACTTATTCCCATAAAATGCCATTTAATTGAATACTGGACCCAACATAAAATGTAACCGGATTAGAAATGAACTCATCTATCACCAGCGAATGCTCTAAAGTTAACATATAAACAAGCAATAATGAAAACTTCACGCAAGTGCATTCTTACTGCATACGGCAAAACATAGTCTGATGTGGAATGATAAGTAAGCTTTGCACTTCCACTAAGGATCGCCAAGAGATGGGACAATAAAAATCACTGCAGAAAATACTAGGTGCCACAATGGAATTTGTATGTGCCATGGTGACCTGGCGCCTGGGATGTGTCGAGCCTTGAGCTAGGTGAATCCTTAGGCAAACCATTAGCCCCGCTTCAGCTGCCTCATCAGCAGCACAGGGCTAATATTGATGGTTGTTAGGAGGTTTACTGAGGTAATTTATGTGGAGTCTCAAAGGCAAGAAAATTCCCTTCTATGAGCAGGTTGTTAGCTCCAGCTAACAGGCATAAGCTGCTCTTCCTTTTTAATGGGGCTCAGCAGTCATTTCAGGACTGGTGTAAGGAACAATGTCACATTTTGCTTTCTCCCCTCGTTTTAGCTGTGGTACTTGCGACTGCTGCTCAGGACCTTTGTATGGCCAAGGCCTCCGTTTCCTTCGTGCTTATAGGAACATCTACGGACTTCGGCTTCCTTATGTGTTTTCCGCCTGCTCCCCATTCTGCTACATGAATTTTGTCACTTGAACTGTCTCAAACACAGTCGCTGGCAGGACTTTCATGGATTTCCCCTTGCAGCAGCTGAGTTGATAATTTCTTGACTAAAGAGTCAGCCGTTGCTGTGCGTACACATCTGAACTCCCAGTCTGAGGATTCCAGGAGTACCACTTGGACCGCAAAATCATCTGGAATATCTGTATTGCATCTTGCTTCCCAGAAATCCTGCTAGGAAGAGGTGTCGGCTGGTTTTATATTTTAACTCACCAAACGTCTTTTTTTCATAAGCCTAAAATATGTTTGCTCTGAGATACCCCTTGCTTTGCTTCCAAAGGTCCCATTTCTTGCAGAGTCTCCTCTACGGCGTAAGAATCACCAACGTAACCAACAAATAAAAGTAACAAAAGCCGACAGCTTATCATTTAGCTGTGAAAAAGAATCCACTCCAGCAGTTAATTAGAATAACCAGTTGGTGGAGACAATTACAGTTGTACCAGCTTGGTTTTTGATGGGGTCGTTCAAGTATATTAGCAAGCCTACATTAAGTGCTCTTGTGCATGTGCCGAAATACGTAATATTGTTTGTCAATACTTCTTCTGCCTTCCTGCATACAATAAAATTGAGAGCTGTTAAGAAGTTGTTTGGTGACAATGTTCTGCGATTAATTATATAGCCTGAAAGCAGTTTACTCCCAGTCCACCCCAATTGTATTCTGACTATGCAAACCCAAGCCAGGTGTATGTATAATCCGAACACCCCATAATTACTCTACGTCTGTGTCCAATGTGGGTTTTTCCCCCAGCCAAAACTACATCAGATCATTATACAGTGTCAAGGAGGTGGAACATGGTTCTTAACTAAGTTAACATCACTTAGTGTGAAGAAAACAAAGGGAAAAAAGCACTTCAGAAGATGTATAGAGTGATAAGGCTGTTGGGTGTCTGCCTAGGCTAGATCATATTCCTGCACGCTGATTTTAAAGATCGTGGGGGAGAGCAGAACAGAAACCAAAAGAATAAATAAACATTCTTTTTAAGCAGGATGTACAATTTCTCAAGGGAGTAGGGGTGGCTCAGGGGTTAAGATGCTGAGTTGCAGACCGTAAGATGCTGAGTTGCAGAGATAAGCACCACACCCTAGAGTCGGATTCGATTGGCTTTCGAGCAAGGGAAACCTTTACCTTTACCTTTTACAATTCCTCAGTGAGAGTCGAACCTAGTAGGCCTTAGCATGTGGCACTGGAAAAGTGTCTTTCTCCTTCAAATATGTAATCCAGCTTGTTGAAGATGACTGAAGCAAACTTGTTATCTGGCTTGTTGACTACATCAGAATTGTTCCTAAGATTGTGGGTGATATTACTCTGACCTGCCCACTACTATATCTTGCAACATAAGAACATAAGAGATGCCAATGTTGGCTCAGGCCAAAGGCCCATCCAGTCCAACACTCTGTGTCACACAGTGGCCAGAAATACCAGGTGCCATCAGAAGGTCCAGCAGGGGGGCCAGGACAATAGAAGCCCTCCCACTGTTGACCCCCCCCCCAAGCACCATGAAGACAGAGCATCACTTGCCCCAGAGCCCCTATCTATACCTTGTGGCTAATAGCCACTGATGGACCTCTGCTCCATATGCTTATCTAATTCCCTTTTGAAGCCGTCCATGCTTGTAGCCGCCACCACTTTCTGTGGCAGTGAATTCCAAGTGTTAATCACTCTTTGGGTGAAGAAGTACTTCCTTTCATCCGTTCTAACCCGACCGCTCAGCAATTTCATGGAGTGCCCACGAGTTCTTGTATTGTGAGAAAGGGAGAAAAGTACCTCTTTCTCTACCTGCTCTATCCCATGCATAATCTTATAAACTTCGATCATGTCACCCCTCAGTCATCGTTTCTCCAAGCTAAAGAGCCCTAAGCACTTTAACCTTTCCTCATAGGGAGAGTGTTCCACCCCTTTTATCATTCGAGTTGCCCATTTCTGCACTTTTCCCAACATTAGATCCTTTTGCTTCATTTTATGAAAATATTTTTTTTACGTCCTCTGGACACAGGGCGTATACATATCCCACTTTGATGGCTACTTCATGCATTGCTTGGATCTAGCACACTATTTCCACAGATGCAAGGACTCCCACCTGTGGATTGCGTGGGGTATGTGGCTAAGTGGTAGAGCACCGATTTTGTGTGCAGACCCCAGGCATCTCCAGTTAGAAGGATTAGGTAGTAGGTGAGGTGAAAGCCCTCTGATGGGGGCCCTGGAAAGCCACTGCCAGTATGAATGGACAATACTGACCTTGGTAGACAAATGGACTGAGTCAGTGTAAGGCAGCTTCATGTGGAACTTCCGTAGGCTCCCCCCACCCCACCCCCAGCAGCCCAAAATGCCTTCCTGCAATCTTGCTACTGGGAAGAAGGGATCCTCAAGAAAGTGTTTTCGGGGCACTTGGGGCCACTACAGGACAAGGGAGCCATGAAGACGGTGCATCATGGACGGAAGTCCTTGCACCCACGGAAATACTGCCCCAGATCCAATCCCATGTCTTAAAGAGGCTTTGTTGGTTTTGCTGCAAGAAATGGATGGGTTGCCCCTCTGGCCTTTGCAAGCTTGTATAGAATGACTTCAATGCTGTTATGAGGTTGCCTGCCTGATTTCCACTCCATTAATACTTGTAATGAGATGTATGCATGAGGATGTCTGTAATTACTGGTGTCATGTGAATATGAGATGTAAATGTAACTAGCCATATGAATGTACAGCATTTTGGGAGCCGGGTGAAGTTAAACTTGGAATCCACCAAATTAAAAAACAAACAAGCCTCCATCTGCCCCATATATAGCTATCACTTTTCTATCCAGTCCTTAAAGGAATTCAGGGCAGCAAACACAATTATTATTTCTGTGTCCTTAAACTTTTTTGTGTGTGTTTTTCATATGTGCCTGTGTGTGTGCACGCGCACAACTGGAAGTCACGGTGACCTGTGATGACTATGTGTGCAGCTGGAAGTCATGGCGACCGGCCCCTACTGGGGGCCTGGAGGATATTCAGAGAAGTGGCTGAATAAAGCCTGCCCCTGTCCTCCCGACTGCTGGTATTCCTTGGGAGGTCTCCCATCCAAGTACTTGCCAGAGTTGACCCTGCTTAGCTTCTGAGTCCTTGTAACACCGCTATGAGATGGGTTAGGTGGATAGAGAACAATGTCTCTAGGCTTAGTGAGCTTTATCACTCAGCTGAGATACTGCATGTATATCTTATTAGGGTGTGGTTGTTTCTGGTGAAGATGCGTTGCTGAGAAGCTGGGTGTTTGTGTATATCATAGTTGGAAGACAAAGTCAAACCTGTGGTGGAAAGTGCCATCAAGTTGCAGCTGACTGATGGCAAATCTGTAAGGTTTTCAAGGCAAGAAAAATTCAGAGGTGATTTGCCATTGCTTGCCTCTGCATAGCAACCATGGACTTCCTCCATGACCATGGAGCCAGTTTGGTGTAGTGGTTAAGTGCGCGGACTCTAATCTGGGAGAACCAGGTTTGATTCCCCACTTCTCCACTTGCAGCTGCTGGATGACCTTGGGCAAGCCATAGTTCTGGCACAGCTGTTCTTTAAAAAGAGCAATTTCTGTCAGAGCTCTCTCAGCCCCACCTACCTCACAGGGTGTCTGTTGAGGGGAGGGGAAGGGAAAAGTTTGTAAGCCGCTCTGAAACTCCTCTGGGTAGTGAAGGGCTCTTTTTGTAGCAGGAACTCCTTTGCATATTAGGCCACACACCCCTAATGTAGCCAATCCTCCAAGAGCTTACAGAGCTCTTCTTACAGGAGCTACTGTAAACTCTTGGAGGATTGGCTACATTAGGGGTGTGTCGCTTAATATGCAAATAAGTACCTGCTACAAAAAGAGGCCCAATCTCTTCTTCTCTTCATCTTCCTTGGTGGTCTCCCATCCAAAGACTAATCAGAGCTGACCCTGCTTAGCTTCTGAGATTGGGCTAGCTAGCCTGTGGGAGCATGGAATTTGAAACAGGGAAAACAGCTGGTGGAAAAAGAAACCACTAATAAACCTGTTGTACGTAAGATGTTTTGCTGCTATGTGGGAGACCCGCATCTGCCACATTATTTCTTGGCAGAAGCCAGAGGAACTGTACCAGGATAGCTAAAACTGCCTGCCCTGCTGTTGGCTACAGTACTGTTAGGCATATTGTTAGGCATATTCCCTGGAAGGCCAGATAATGAAAACGAAGCTCAAATACTTTGGCCACCAAATGAGAAGGGAGCACTCACTGGAGAAGACCCTGATGCTGGGAAAGATTGAAGGTCAAAGAAGACGGGGACGGCAAAGGATGAGATGGTTGGACAGTGTCATCGAGGCAACGAACATGAAACTAAGCAAACTTCAGAGGACAGCGGAAGACAGGAGGGCCTGGCGGGATCTAGTCCATGGGGTCGCGAAGAGTCGGACTCGACTGTGCGACTGAACAACAACAAAAAAAACTTCATAATGGTATTCCCTACAGCATCTAAAATAATTCAAAATTCAGCAAACTTTTCCAAAATATTTATTCAGAGACCAAAAAAAAATCAGGATCACATTTTAATGGGCGTGAATTATGCAAATCATTCTGGCTGAATATTCCCACTGATAGTTTCAATTATCTTGTGTCATCGAAGGCTGCTCGCTGCAGGGATTCAGTCAAGCGTTGAGGTATTTCGCATGGTGTCTGATATGGTCGTTAATGAAGGTTGTTATGAAGTAGTAGCTGTGATCGTAGCCCTAGGGAGAAGAAAAGATCGTTCAGGCAAGTTAGTCTAATCTGAATCCTTGGACAAGAAGACACGTACTGGACATTCTCCCATAAGTATTTGGTGTTTTAGACAGAAGGAAAATAAGACTAGTTACTGGGGCTTGAAAAGAGGGACCTGAGTGAAAAATCACTTTAGTCTCTGTACAAATTCACAGGCCTTTCGCTATAGGCTCTGCCCCCAGCTTTGCAATCCATTTTCATGTTACGAATTGGGGCATAAGGAAGCACATTGGGTTTCGTTCTTGTTACTTATTCTCAGGGCTTTTTTGTAGGAAAAGGCCAGCAGGAACTCATTAGCATAATAGGCCACACCCAACAACAGAAACTCATTAGCATATTAGGCCACACCCCTGACATCACAGCTCATTAGCATATTAGGCAACACGCCCCATGCCTTCCATTGGCTTGCCCGGGCGTCCCGCTGCTGCTGCGGGGAGCCTGGGCAAGCTGGCCCTTGGAGGGGAGTCACTGGGGGGGGGTCCGCTCTCCAGGCCTTCCCTCTGTAGCCACGCATGCACAGAGGTTTTGGCTGTAGGCGTGGGCATGGGCGTGGCCAACTCAGAAGCCAGCCGGAACTCTGTTCCTG